AGTGGTTTCGTGGGCGGTGGGCTCGACAACCCCGCGTGTTTTTTATATAACATATATATATAACAAAAAAAAGCGAAGATTGCATAACCTAGATTGCACCGCGTTGATTGCGCAACAGATATTGCGCCACATGTATTGGCCCACAAAGATTGCACAACATAGGTTGCACAGCGTAGATTGTGCAACGTCGATAGCACCGCGTAGATTTACCCTCCTGAAAAGTATTAGGATCGACTCCCCCCTCCCCCCCCGCCCGGATTGAACCGCTCGCTTTGTCGCAGTGCAATTTGCCAATGATGTTGCCCCATCGCCATTGCTAAGAATGAAGTAGCACCCCAGCCAAACCGGCAACGCCCCCCCTTCATCCCCTGCAAATAATTACGCGCGCGCATCATCGAAAAACATAGCGTTCAAGAGCCCATTGCGAAATTTGACAAAGTGCTCGCGAGCGCGCCGTCGCGCGCGCATACCTGACTCCTTCAAAATTGAAGATTGCGCGGAGATGTTGAAATCGAGTGCCCCGAGAACTTTTTTATTCCATGACATTTGGCAACGCAGATGTTCGAAACAATTCTGCGGCCGCGCTCTCGCGAATCCCTAAGAAAGCAATAGGTTTTTTTCATGCCCATCAACAGATGGGCTTTGTTTGCGCGCGCGCCGAAATCGTTCGAACGCCCTCGCGCGCGCTGTCGCAAGAACCCATTGCAAAAAAAAGGCGACGAAGTGCACGCGCGCGCGTCGTCGCGCGCGCATGCCGAAATCTGCCCACAAACCTCGGCCCCTGAAAGATGTCAAAATCGAGTTCCCCAAAAACGTATATATAATGGTTTTGCAACAACAGTCGTTTTCACCACCAAAAATCTGAACTGCGCTTGCGGTCTTGTGAATTCTCAAGGAAACTACATGTGTTTCACGATTTCACTAAGCTCTGCCAAGCGAGCCCTTCGCGCCGCATGTCGACATCATGCGAACGCCCTTGCGCGCGCTTTGTGGGGGGCGCGATCCCGTGTCAAATATCACCGCGCGGGCCGCTCTCCCGCGTTGGCCGCGCGCGCATGTCGAACTCTGTGCCAGACCTTCATCGCCGACGCGGGGGCGCCGTCATCGTCGTCGGCGCGGTCATCATTGGCGCCCTCACTGGCCGCGCCGTCGCCGTTGTCATCATCGCCACCAGCGTCATTACTATCACCATCGTGTACACCGTCGTCGACGTTGCCATGATACCGCGCCCGCCCAAGTGGCCGACTCGCACTGAAGTGCCGATGGGAAGTGCCCCGAGGTCAGCGCCTCCGCGGCCGCGCCGCGTTGGTCGCGCCATGCTAGCTGGCCGCCGCGCGCTCGAGCATGCGCCGGCTAGCGCGGCCGCAGAGATGCACCAGCCAACGCCCAGCATTCATCGCAATCGCCGCCGCATGTGTTCTGCAAACCAGGTCGCGGGCGGGCGGGCCGGGTGACTGCGCGAGCAGTGGAGTCGACAATTGCGACTTCCACAAACGAGCTGCGCCACATAGATGGGCCCGCAGGAATTGCGCAACGCGTAGTGCACTGTGCGGGGTTCTCGCTGTCGAACACTGCGCAATCTACGTGATGCAAGAGACGTGACGCAATCTATGACATGCAATGTATACGGCGCAACATGCGCGGTGCAGGATATGAGGCGCGATCTACGTTGCGAAGCTCACTTGCCGAACTTGAGATGTCAACTCCACTGCTCGCGCAAGCATCCCACCCGCCCACCCGCAACTTGGTTTGCAAAGCCCATGCGGGAGCGATTGCGATGAGTGCTGGGCGTTGGCTGGTGCATCTCTGCGGACGCGCTAGCCAGCGCATGCTCGCGCACGCAGTGGCAGGCTAGCTTGGCGCGACCGACGCAACGCGGCCGCGCTGACCGCTCGGCACATCACAGCGGGCACTCCAATGCGAGTCGGCGACTTGGGCGGGCGCGGTATCATGGCAGCGTCGACGACGGTAGACACGATGATGATAGTAGCGATACCAGTGACGATGTTGATGGATGTTGACGGCGACGACCGGGCAGCCAGTGACGGCGCCGATGCTGATCACGCCGACGATGATGACGCGCCTTCGCGTCTGCGATGAAGGTTTTGGACGGAGTTCCAAATGCGCGCGCGACGCACGCGCGAGAGTGGCTCGCATCGGTTTTTTTTGACACGGGTCGCGCCACCCCAGCACGCGCGCAAGGGCGTTCGAAGGATTTCGACATGCGCGCGTGCGAAGCCCACTTGGTAGAATGTTATGAAAATGTTGAGCAACTCGTGGTTTTCTCAACAATTCGCAAAAGCGCGCGCGCTTTTGCTGAGAATCCGCGTTGCGAGACCTCGGTGTTTTGTTGTATGTTTTCTTGATGCTCGATTGTGAGAAATACGTCCGAAACCAACGGTTTTTGAAGGATTCCGGCATGCGCGCGCGACGACGCGCGCGCGTGCATTTCGTCACGTTTTTTCTTGGTTTTTGCATTGGGTTCTTGGCAATTTATGATGTTTGATAAACGTGTGCGTGCGCATATTGTTTTTTTGCCAGGGAACCGACGGGGTACCCATGCCGGCCTGGCTGGGATAGTATGAGTTCACAGGTAGGATGGACATTGGGTCAGAATCTGATGCGTTTTGCATATGTTCCCAGGGAGTCGATAAGTCCGGACGGGGGGGGGGTAGAATTTATTGCCCTTTTTAGAAATGGAAATATACGTAGTGCAATCTATGAAGCGCAATTGGTGTTGTGCGATCTACGCGGTGCAATCTATGCGGCGCAATATGTGTGGTGCAGTATATGCGGTGGAATGCGTTGTGCAATCTACGTGGCTCGATCTATGTTGTGCAGTTTGTGTGTTGCACTATACGTTTTGGAGCGTATGTGTTGCAACATTTGCAGTGCAATCGACGTGATGCAATTCACTTGCCGAACTTGAAGTTGTCAACTCCGCTGCTCGCGCAATCATCCCTCCCACCCACCCGCAAATTGGTTTGCAAAGCCGATGCGGCGGCGATTGCGATGAATGCTGGGTCTTGGCTGGTGCATCTCTGCGGCCGCGTTAGCCCGCGCATGCTCGCGCTGGCAGCGCGGCCACCTAGTCTGGCGCGACCGACGCGAACGCGGTGGCGCTGACCGCTCGGCACATCCTATCGGCCACTTCAGTGCGAGTCGGCGACTTGGGCGGGCGCGGTATCATGGCAATGTCGACAACGGTAGACACGATGATGCTAGTAGCGATGTTGGTGACGATGTTAGCAGGGGCGACGGGGCAGCCAGCGACGGCGCCGAAGCTCGGTCTTGAAATGGTTGAAAACAGTGTGTGTTTGGAAGGGTTTCGATATGCGCGCGCGGCGGCCGCGCGCATGCGCCCCGCGTGGTAGTTTTTACGAAGGAGTGCGCCCCTGGCAGGCGCACGACCGATATTGAAAGCGTTCGGCGCGCGCATAAGTTGCTCACGTGACAGACATGTTGAGAAAAAAGCCATTGGCCTTTTTCGGGTTCGGAAAGGGCGCCCGGGTAGAATGTTTGATTTGTTTCTGAGGGCGTGTGGTACGATTCGTGTGATTCATGAAGCTCGGTCTTGAAAGTGTTGAAACCACTGTGTGTTTGGAACGAATTCAACATGCGCGCGCGGCGGCCGCTCGCTTGTGCCCCGCGCTGTGGTTTTTTAAAAAAGAGATTGCGGCCCTGGCAGGCGCACGACCGATGTTGAAGGCGTTCGGCGCGCGCGCATAAGTTGCCCAAGAAGCCCGATGCGACAGGAATATTGAGAAACGAAACGCGGTTGTTGAAGGATTCGGCAAGAGCGCGCGGGCAGATGTTTCAAAATTCCTTGGGTGAGTACGTCGTATGTGTTCAGAGGTTCTCTTGAAGCGGGATGCTGAATCTGCTGAAAACCACATGTGGTTGGAAGGATTCCGGACTGCGCGCGCAGCGGCCGCGCGCGCGTGTCCCGCATGTTTTTCTGGTTACAACGGATTCGTGAAAAATTGCGATGCTAGAAGAATCGATGCTACCGTATAGTATCTTTCGCAAGGTAACCGAAGGGGGGGGGATACCGGCCTGGTTGGGATAGTATGAATTCACAGGTGGGGTGGACATTGGGTCACAGACATAGGTGTTTTGCGTGGGTTACCGGGGAATCGATAAGTCCGGAGGGGGGAGGGTGGTCCATTTAAAAGGAAATTCTACGCGGTGCAATCTATGCGGTGCAGTCTTTTCGAAGCAACGACGGGGGTGACGACTGCGAGAACATAGCCGCCAGACAGACGCGCAGGCCCAGACGACAGGCGGCGACGGGGCGGCGACGGCGACAACGTAGAACGACGGGTGGCAACGAGTCGGCGACTGGTCGGCGACGACAACAGCATAGCCGCCGCCGACCCGCAAGCCCTGTTTGGGGAATATTCTTGTTGGGACTTATGAAGAGGGAACTTGGCAGGACGTTTTATTGCAAGATCGTTGGTGCGCCTTGCGTTTACCCTGGTACTCCGCATCCTCCTCCTCCTGGTCTTCCTCGCCCCCCCCCCTCTCCTTCCTCTTGGTCAGCCTACTCTTGTTTTTCCATCCGCTTGCCACGGTACTTTGGTATTGGCCAGTTTGGCTGATGTATCTACCCTTGCCTTGTAGGGCTCGGGCAGCACCCCCTCTTCATGCATAAGAGCGCGCTTGAATATTGATCGAGGGGCGCGTTGGGCACGACGCTGCCCCAAACCCCGCCTCACGCCCAGTCGTCGAGTGCGTTGCTGGGAGTGAGCGCGTCGTCAAACGTGTGCTTGAATGCATGCCCCTCTCGGGGATGTACACCTAATCGACGCGGCAGCCCCGCTGCCACAAGGAATCCTTCCGCGTTAATATGCCAGGCAGGTTGTTCATTCGTCTCCGTTTGGCTTGTGACTCGATCAACGATGCTCTCCTCGCCACACCACCGCATCCCTGTCCCCATATACTCACCACGTTGAGCAGCCAGCATTATTGCCATCAGGCCGACCATCTTCGTAAACACGCTCATCAACATCGCCGCCATCGTCCTCACTACCGTCCGCAGCATTTTTGGCTCGAGGCCTCTTGGCCTGATTTTCGTGCGAGCGTCTACTGGCCCCCCGCGCAGCCCTCGCCTTGATCAGCGGCAATGTCGCTGAACCTCAAGAAGCAGTCGCTCAGCTCCCTGGATGTGAAGGGCAAGCGCGTGCTCATGCGCGTGGACTTCAACGTGCCGCAGGACAAGAGCGGCGCCATCACCAACACGCAGCGCATCGTCGGCGCCATGCCGTCCATCAAGCTGGCACTGGACAACGGTGCGAAGTCCGTGGTCCTCATGTCCCACCTTGGCCGCCCGGACGGCCGCGCGCAGCCGTCCATGACCCTGAAGCCGGTGGCCGACAAGCTGGCGGAGCTGATGGGGAAGCCCGTGACGTTCTTGCCGAACTGCGTCGGCGCAGAGGTGGAGGCCGCGTGCGCCGACCCGGCGGAGGGCTCCATCATCGTGCTGGAGAACCTGCGCTGGCACGTCGAGGAGGAGGGCAAGGGCGTCGACGAGAGCGGCGAGAAGACCAAGGCGTCCGAGGCGGAGACCGCGGCGTTCCAGGCGTCGCTCGGGAAGCTGGGCGACGTGTACGTCAACGACGCATTCGGCACGGCGCACCGCGCGCACTCCTCCATGGTGGGCATGGCGGGCAAGATGCCCTGCGTTGCCGGCCTCCTGGTCGAGAAGGAGCTCGACGCGTTCTCGCAGGTGCTGGACCCGGCGCTGGTGCAGCGGCCGCTCACGGCCATCGTCGGGGGGGCCAAGATCAAGGACAAGGTGCTGGTGATCGAGAACCTCATCGACCGCGCCGACAAGCTCATCCTCTGCGGCGGGATGGCGTACACGTTCCTCAAGGTCTGCTTCGGCATGCAGATCGGCAAGTCCCTCTTCGACAAGGTCGGCGCCGAGCTGGCCCCGAAGCTGCTCGAGAAGGCCAAGGCCAAGGGCGTCGAGATCGTGCTGCCGTGCGACTGGGCCTGCGGCCAGGAGTTCAAGAACGACCAGGAGGTCAAGATGGTGACCCAGGCAGAGGGCATCCCCGACGGCTGGGAGGGCATGGACTGCGGCCCCAAGTCCATGGAGCTCTTCCGTCAGACCGTCATGAGCTCGAAGACGGTCGTGTGGAACGGCCCCGCCGGCGTGTTCGAGTTCGACAATTTCTCCAAGGGCACCAAGTCCCTCCTCGAGGCCGTGGCCGAGCTGACATCCGCGGGCGGCCGCGGCATCATCGGCGGCGGGGACTCGGCCACCGCTGCGGCCAAGTGGAACATGGAGGACAAGGTGCACTTCGTCTCCACCGGCGGCGGCGCCTCGCTGGAGCTTCTGGAGGGCAAGGTGTTGCCGGGCATCGCGGCCCTGGACGACGTGAACTGAGCGCCGCGACTGGCAGCGCTGGCTGAGAATTTCCCGAGGACGGCCGGCTGCGGGCGGGCCTGGTGAGGGCACGGCCTGAGCGGGCAGTTTTGACCATCGCCCGGAGCCGTGCTTGACCCGACGCCGTCTGGCGAGCCCCGCCCGCAGGCCTCTCGTTGCCATATGCCTGCCAATCTGCTGAATTGGGACGCTGCTGCGACCAGCAGCGCTGGCTGAGATTTTCCCGGGGAGGCCCGTAGCTGGCGACATCATCGTAATCATCCGCATTGCTGTCATCACGCCGGCCACTACCATCCGAGCGCCGATGCGGTCATCGTCGCCATCGTCCTCCTTGCCAGCCGCAGCATTTTTGGCTCGAGGCCCTCTTGGCCTGATTTTCGTGCGCAGCCCTCGCCTTGATCAGCGGCAATGTCGCTGAACCTCAAGAAGCAGTCGCTCAGCTCCCTGGATGTCAAGCGCGTGCTCACGCGGCCACTACCATCCGAGCGCCGATGCGGTCATCGTCGCCATCGTCCTCCTTGCCAGCCGCAGCATTTTTGGCTCGAGGCCCTCTTGGCCTGATTTTCGTGCGCAGCCCTCGCCTTGATCAGCGGCAATGTCGCTGAACCTCAAGAAGCAGTCGCTCAGCTCCCTGGATGTGAAGGGCAAGCGCGTGCTCATGCGCGTGGACTTCAACGTGCCGCAGGACAAGAGCGGCGCCATCACCAACACGCAGCGCATCGTCGGCGCCATGCCGTCCATCAAGCTGGCACTGGACAACGGTGCGAAGTCCGTGGTCCTCATGTCCCACCTTGGCCGCCCGGACGGCCGCGCGCAGCCGTCCATGACCCTGAAGCCGGTGGCCGACAAGCTGGCGGAGCTGATGGGGAAGCCCGTGACGTTCTTGCCGAACTGCGTCGGCGCAGAGGTGGAGGCCGCGTGCGCCGACCCGGCGGAGGGCTCCATCATCGTGCTGGAGAACCTGCGCTGGCACGTCGAGGAGGAGGGCAAGGGCGTCGACGAGAGCGGCGAGAAGACCAAGGCGTCCGAGGCGGAGACCGCGGCGTTCCAGGCGTCGCTCGGGAAGCTGGGCGACGTGTACGTCAACGACGCATTCGGCACGGCGCACCGCGCGCACTCCTCCATGGTGGGCATGGCGGGCAAGATGCCCTGCGTTGCCGGCCTCCTGGTCGAGAAGGAGCTCGACGCGTTCTCGCAGGTGCTGGACCCGGCGCTGGTGCAGCGGCCGCTCACGGCCATCGTCGGGGGGGCCAAGATCAAGGACAAGGTGCTGGTGATCGAGAACCTCATCGACCGCGCCGACAAGCTCATCCTCTGCGGCGGAATGGCGTACACGTTCCTCAAGGTCTGCTTCGGCATGCAGATCGGCAAGTCCCTCTTCGACAAGGTCGGCGCCGAGCTGGCCCCGAAGCTGCTCGAGAAGGCCAAGGCCAAGGGCGTCGAGATCGTGCTGCCGTGCGACTGGGCCTGCGGCCAGGAGTTCAAGAACGACCAGGAGGTCAAGATGGTGACCCAGGCAGAGGGCATCCCCGACGGCTGGGAGGGCATGGACTGCGGCCCCAAGTCCATGGAGCTCTTCCGTCAGACCGTCATGAGCTCGAAGACGGTCGTGTGGAACGGCCCCGCCGGCGTGTTCGAGTTCGACAATTTCTCCAAGGGCACCAAGTCCCTCCTCGAGGCCGTGGCCGAGCTGACATCCGCGGGCGGCCGCGGCATCATCGGCGGCGGGGACTCGGCCACCGCTGCGGCCAAGTGGAACATGGAGGACAAGGTGCACTTCGTCTCCACCGGCGGCGGCGCCTCGCTGGAGCTTCTGGAGGGCAAGGTGCTGCCGGGCATCGCGGCCCTGGACGACGTGAACTGAGCGCCGCGACTGGCAGCGCTGGCTGAGAATTTCCCGAGGACGGCCCGGCTGCGGGCGGGCCTGGTGAGGGCACGGCCTGAGCGGGCAGTTTTGACCATCGCCCGGAGCCGTGCTTGACCCGACGCCGTCTGGCGAGCCCCGCCCGCAGGCCTCTCGTTGCCATATGCCTGCCAATCTGCTGAATTGGGACGCTGCTGCGACCAGCAGCGCTGGCTGAGATTTTCCCGGGGAGGCCCGTAGCTGGCGACATCATCGTAATCATCCGCATTGCTGTCATCACGCCGGCCACTACCATCCGAGCGCCGATGCGGTCATCGTCGCCATCGTCCTCCTTGCCAGCCGCAGCATTTTTGGCTCGAGGCCCTCTTGGCCTGATTTTCGTGCGCAGCCCTCGCCTTGATCAGCGGCAATGTCGCTGAACCTCAAGAAGCAGTCGCTCAGCTCCCTGGATGTGAAGGGCAAGCGCGTGCTCATGCGCGTGGACTTCAACGTGCCGCAGGACAAGAGCGGCGCCATCACCAACACGCAGCGCATCGTCGGCGCCATGCCGTCCATCAAGCTGGCACTGGACAACGGTGCGAAGTCCGTGGTCCTCATGTCCCACCTTGGCCGCCCGGACGGCCGCGCGCAGCCGTCCATGACCCTGAAGCCGGTGGCCGACAAGTTGGCGGAGCGGAAGCCCGTGACGGCGCAGGCCGCGTCCGGCGGAGGGCTCCATCATCGTGCTGGAGAACCTGCGCTGGCACGTGGCAAGGGCGTGCAAGGCGTCCGAGGCGGAGACGTTCCAGGCGTCGCTCGGGAAGCTGGGCGACGTGTACGTCAACGACGCATTCGGCACGGCGCACCGCGCGCACTCCTCCGTGGGCATGGCGGGCAAGATGCCCTGCGTTGCCGGCCTCCTGGTCGAGAAGGAGACGCGTTCTCGCAGGTGCTGGACCCGGCGCTGGTGCAGCGGCCGCTCACGGCTATCGTCGGGGGGGCCAAGATCAAGGACAAGGTGCTGGTGATCGAGAACCTCATCGACCGCGCCGACAAGCTCATCCTCTGCGGCGGGATGGCGTACACGTTCCTCAAGGTCTGCTTCGGCATGCAGATCGGCAAGTCCCTCTTCGACAAGGTCGGCGCCGAGCTGGCCCCGAAGCTGCTCGAGAAGGCCAAGGCCAAGGGCGTCGAGATCGTGCTGCCGTGCGACTGGGCCTGCGGCCAGGAGTTCAAGAACGACCAGGAGGTCAAGATGGTGACCCAGGCAGAGGGCATCCCCGACGGCTGGGAGGGCATGGACTGCGGCCCCAAGTCCATGGAGCTCTTCCGTCAGACCGTCATGAGCTCGAAGACGGTCGTGTGGAACGGCCCCGCCGGCGTGTTCGAGTTCGACAACTTCTCCAAGGGTACCAAGTCCCTCCTCGAGGCCGTGGCCGAGCTGACATCCGCGGGCGGCCGCGGCATCATCGGCGGCGGGGACTCGGCCACCGCTGCGGCCAAGTGGAACATGGAGGACAAGGTGCACTTCGTCTCCACCGGCGGCGGCGCCTCGCTGGAGCTTCTGGAGGGCAAGGTGCTGCCGGGCATCGCGGCCCTGGACGACGTGAATTGAGCGCCGCGTCTGGCAGCGCTGGCTGAGAATTCCCTGAGGACGCCCGCTGTGGGCGGGCCTGGTGAGGGCACGGCCTGAGCGGGCAGTTTTGACCATCGCCCGGAGCCGTGCTTGACCCGACGCCGTCTGGCGAGCCCCGCCCGCAAGCCTCTCGTTGCCATATGCCTGCCAATCTGCTGAATTGGGACGCTGCTGCGACCAGCAGCGCTGGCTGAGATTTTCCCGGGGAGGCCCGTAGCTGGCGACATCATCGTAATCATCCGCATTGCTGTCATCACGCCGGCCACTACCATCCGAGCGCCGATGCGGTCATCGTCGCCGTCGTCCTCCTTGCCAGCCGCAGCATTTTTGGCTCGAGGCCCTCTTGGCCTGATTTTCGTGCGCAGCCCTCGCCTTGATCAGCGGCAATGTCGCTGAACCTCAAGAAGCAGTCGCTCAGCTCCCTGGATGTGAAGGGCAAGCGCGTGCTCATGCGCGTGGACTTCAACGTGCCGCAGGACAAGAGCGGCGCCATCACCAACACGCAGCGCATCGTCGGCGCCATGCCGTCCATCAAGCTGGCACTGGACAACGGTGCGAAGTCCGTGGTCCTCATGTCCCACCTTGGCCGCCCGGACGGCCGCGCGCAGCCGTCCATGACCCTGAAGCCGGTGGCCGACAAGCTGGCGGAGCTGATGGGGAAGCCCGTGACGTTCTTGCCGAACTGCGTCGGCGCAGAGGTGGAGGCCGCGTGCGCCGACCCGGCGGAGGGCTCCATCATCGTGCTGGAGAACCTGCGCTGGCACGTCGAGGAGGAGGGCAAGGGCGTCGACGAGAGCGGCGAGAAGACCAAGGCGTCCGAGGCGGAGACCGCGGCGTTCCAGGCGTCGCTCGGGAAGCTGGGCGACGTGTACGTCAACGACGCATTCGGCACGGCGCACCGCGCGCACTCCTCCATGGTGGGCATGGCGGGCAAGATGCCCTGCGTTGCCGGCCTCCTGGTCGAGAAGGAGCTCGACGCGTTCTCGCAGGTGCTGGACCCGGCGCTGGTGCAGCGGCCGCTCACGGCCATCGTCGGGGGGGCCAAGATCAAGGACAAGGTGCTGGTGATCGAGAACCTCATCGACCGCGCCGACAAGCTCATCCTCTGCGGCGGGATGGCGTACACGTTCCTCAAGGTCTGCTTCGGCATGCAGATCGGCAAGTCCCTCTTCGACAAGGTCGGCGCCGAGCTGGCCCCGAAGCTGCTCGAGAAGGCCAAGGCCAAGGGCGTCGAGATCGTGCTGCCGTGCGACTGGGCCTGCGGCCAGGAGTTCAAGAATGACCAGGAGGTCAAGATGGTGACCCAGGCAGAGGGCATCCCCGACGGCTGGGAGGGCATGGACTGCGGCCCCAAGTCCATGGAGCTCTTCCGTCAGACCGTCATGAGCTCGAAGACGGTCGTGTGGAACGGCCCCGCCGGCGTGTTCGAGTTCGACAACTTCTCCAAGGGCACCAAGTCCCTCCTCGAGGCCGTGGCCGAGCTGACAGCCGCGGGCGGCCGCGGCATCATCGGCGGCGGGGACTCGGCCACCGCTGCGGCCAAGTGGAACATGGAGGACAAGGTGCACTTCGTCTCCACCGGCGGCGGCGCCTCGCTGGAGCTTCTGGAGGGCAAGGTGCTGCCGGGCATCGCGGCCCTGGACGACGTGAATTGAGCGCCGCGACTGGCAGCGCTGGCTGAGAATTTCCCGAGGACGCCCGCTGCGGGCGGGCCTGGTGAGGGCACGGCCTGAGCGGGCAGTTTTGACCATCGCCCGGGGCCGTGCTTGACCCGACGCCGTCTGGCGAGCCCCGCCCGCAGGCCTCTCGTCTCTATACGCCTGTTGAGGTCTCGACACCGCCGAGACTCTGAATTAAGACGCAGTCTCGACCGCCAGCGCTAGCTGGTATTTTCCCGAACAGGCCCACAGCCGGCGACATCATCCTAATGTTTGACGTTTCGCATGGCCCCAACAGCCCGTCCAAAACAATCACTGGGCAAGCTGACCTGAGCATGGATGTGTAGCAGCATGCAGTCACGCTCTGGGAGCCTCTTGGAGGCATCTTGGGATCATCATGGGTCTCTACTGGGGCCGCTTTGGGCCAGCTTGAAGGCCTTAGGGGCTCTCTTGGGGCCCTCTTGGGGCTTTCTTGAGGCCATCTTGGAGGGTCTGGTAGCCCTCTTGGAGGCCATCGACTATCAAAGGGGGCGGCTCGTATTCGCGTCCCCCCGTCGGGGCTCTCAAAACCACCTCTTGGGGCCCTCGTGGGGCCCTCTTGGGGCGCTCTTGGAGCGCTCGTGGAGCCGTCTTGCGGCCCTCTTGGGCCCCTCTTGGGGCTGTCTTGGGACACCTTAGAGTTGTCTTGAGGTTTCAGAAGCCCACCGGATGCGAGCAGGCGAGAAGGCAACAAATACTGATGTTCGAAAGGTTTCGGAAAGATGTTGGAATCTCTGTGGCGTCCCTGGGGGGCTCCATGGCTATGTTGAGAGATCTTGCAGGCCATCTTGGGCTATCTGAGGCCGTCTGAGGGTCATCGCGGCCCCCCCCACCTCCAGACTCCAGACCCAGGGCGAGGGGGTATGGGGGAGCGGTGGACTCTTTCCCCGAAGGGCAAGAGAGGGATTGGAAGAGGTGGCACCCTTTACCAAATGACACCCTAAAGGGCTGGTTTATCCGCATTGCTGCCATCTGGCCATCTGAGCGTCGATGCGGTCATCGCCGCCATCGTCATCAGAACTGGCCGCAGCATTTTTGGCTCGAGGCCCTCTTGGCCTGATTTTCGTGCGCAGCCCTCGCCTTGATCAGCGGCAATGTCGCTGAACCTCAAGAAGCAGTCGCTCAGCTCCCTGGATGTGAAGGGCAAGCGCGTGCTCATGCGCGTGGACTTCAACGTGCCGCAGGACAAGAGCGGCGCCATCACCAACACGCAGCGCATCGTCGGCGCCATGCCGTCCATCAAGCTGGCACTGGACAACGGTGCGAAGTCCGTGGTCCTCATGTCCCACCTTGGCCGCCCGGACGGCCGCGCGCAGCCGTCCATGACCCTGAAGCCGGTGGCCGACAAGCTGGCGGAGCTGATGGGGAAGCCCGTGACGTTCTTGCCGAACTGCGTCGGCGCAGAGGTGGAGGCCGCGTGCGCCGACCCGGCGGAGGGCTCCATCATCGTGCTGGAGAACCTGCGCTGGCACGTCGAGGAGGAGGGCAAGGGCGTCGACGAGAGCGGCGAGAAGACCAAGGCGTCCGAGGCGGAGACCGCGGCGTTCCAGGCGTCGCTCGGGAAGCTGGGCGACGTGTACGTCAACGACGCATTCGGCACGGCTCACCGCGCGCACTCCTCCATGGTGGGCATGGCGGGCAAGATGCCCTGCGTTGCCGGCCTCCTGGTCGAGAAGGAGCTCGACGCGTTCTCGCAGGTGCTGGACCCGGCGCTGGTGCAGCGGCCGCTCACGGCCATCGTCGGGGGGGCCAAGATCAAGGACAAGGTGCTGGTGATCGAGAACCTCATCGACCGTGCCGACAAGCTCATCCTCTGCGGCGGGATGGCGTACACGTTCCTCAAGGTCTGCTTCGGTATGCAGATCGGCAAGTCCCTCTTCGACAAGGTCGGCGCCGAGCTGGCACCGAAGCTGCTCGAGAAGGCCAAGGCCAAGGGCGTCGAGATCGTGCTGCCGTGCGACTGGGCCTGCGGCCAGGAGTTCAAGAACGACCAGGAGGTCAAGATGGTGACCCAGGCAGAGGGCATCCCCGACGGCTGGGAGGGCATGGACTGCGGCCCCAAGTCCATGGAGCTCTTCCGTCAGACCGTCATGAGCTCGAAGACGGTCGTGTGGAACGGCCCCGCCGGCGTGTTCGAGTTCGACAACTTCTCCAAGGGCACCAAGTCCCTCCTCGAGGCCGTGGCCGAGCTGACAGCCGCGGGCGGCCGCGGCATCATCGGCGGCGGGGACTCGGCCACCGCTGCGGCCAAGTGGAACATGGAGGACAAGGTGCACTTCGTCTCCACCGGCGGCGGCGCCTCGCTGGAGCTTCTGGAGGGCAAGGTGCTGCCGGGCATCGCGGCCCTGGACGACGTGAATTGAGCGCCGCGACTGGCAGCGCTGGCTGAGAATTTCCCGAGGACGCCCGCTGCGGGCGGGCCTGGTGAGGGCACGGCCTGAGCGGGCAGTTTTGACCATCGCCCGGGGCCGTGCTTGACCCGACGCCGTCTGGCGAGCCCCGCCCACAGGCCTCTCGCCTCTATACGCCTGTTGAAGTCTCGACACTGCCGAAGTAAAGGCAACTTTGGGTGCAGGAGGGTGCTCTGGTTTTCGGACCGTTCCGTAGATCTGGGTCGGGGAACCCATTCGTGGCCGAGGCTCACCGTAACCAGAAAAGACCTCGTTCCTTCTTCAGCGTCCCGTATGGCAGCACGACGATTATATTTGTTTCAAGGCTATTCACGCAAGTTTGGAGAGCCAGCTCCAGAAACCTCCCAAGACAGACGTCGGCGAAGTATGTACGCCAAAAGCTTTAAATGTTCAAGGCTTGCGATTGTTGCTTCTCTTAGCGTATGTGGGCCTCTCGCACGCATGTTGGGGCTTGTTGGAGCGCTTCGTTTGGTCTTGGGACCTGTTTGGCGGCCTTGCCCGCTTGTTGAGGCCGTCCTGCGATGTCTGTTGGTTCTTGTGGGATCTTGGTACGTCGTGTCGTTATGGGCCTCCTGGAGCCCCACCAGGGTGCTCGTCTTGGCCGCTGTCGGATCCTCTTGGGGCCGTCGTGAAGGCTCATTGTGGTTTTGCTTGGGACTTCGTGGGTCTCGCGGCAACATGCTCGCTGCCATGCTCGAAAAGCAAAAACTTGGGATGCTTGAAGCCTCTCTAGTGCCCTCTTCGGATCTCTTGGGGCCACGCTGGGCATATGTATCCCGTGCGCCTCGTGGGGCGTGTCTGGGGACTCTGGGGCAGGTCTTGGGAAGCCTTGGCCCGCCTGGCCGCACTGCTGCTGGGGGCCTCCGACGACGTTTCTAGAACGTCGTAAGACGAGATCTGACCTTCTTGAGCTCTCGGGGGCTCGCTCGGGGCTGCACTGGTGCCACATTGGGCTGCTGTCGGCGATAGCCCTTCTCGGGAACCTTGCACGCTCTCTTGAAGCGCAGGAGGCCGGAAAGGAGGGAACGCGAAGCAACTCGCCGGAGTCGCCTTTCGGTGGTTCCACGATGGGATTCTGAGGGATGGAGCCCGAAGGACAGGACGGGAGCCCATGCTTAATTTACAGTGTGTGAGGCCGCTCGCCCTTGGGGCCCCTCAGGGCCCCATCACTGAACCGGCCGCCGAGCCCCAGAGGCCTCTCGGGCCCCCTTGGCAGAGTTCCCCCCCGGGCCCCCGTGGGACTGCCGCGGCGGCCTCCTGGCGCCCCCCTCGACCGTCGCGGGCCCGTCCACGGCTTCGGGCCAGAGGGCGCGCCTGGTCTGTGGTGGGTCGGGGGCCCCCAAACGGCGCGGTGACCACACCATGTGGCAAGCCAGTGGAGATGTCGGGAGACCGCACGGTCTGGCGGCTTGGGTCGTCCTCCGAGGATGTCTCGGGCAACTGTGGCCTCCACGGTCCTGTAAACGCCGCGACGTGTAACAGTGCGGTGACAGACCGTGCGGTGAGGTCGTTGGGGATTGAAAGGCCACCGCAGGGTCCGTCACCGAACCGTTTTGGGACCCCCAAGTGTGGGGGGGATCTCGCCCGCCTGGCGACCCCGAAGGATCGGCGGGTCAAGAAAAGTCTGGTGGGGCGTACTTCGGGGGCGGGTCTTGACAGGAGTGGGGGCTGTAACGCGACGTGTGGGAGCGATCGGTTCTTAGCCCGACTCTTTCAGATTACGTGTGTGTCTTCAAAGGGCGTCACGACAGCACCATCACCTCTCAGTGCTGCACACTGCTCACTGCGTGGGTCTTTGTGGCGGCAACGACCGTCACATTCAGGCGGAGCAGGAACCATGGCCTGCTCGAAGTCTTCATGGCATCGTCGTCCTCACGAACTTCAGCATCATCATCATTATCTCTGCAGATTAGGCTTCAGATCTGCTCGTTCGCGAGAGGGCGCAATATGTCTGGCGAATCTGAGACACATCGCCTGTTTACGGAGTGTATGTTCCATGCGTTTGCGATTACGTCACGCTGCTTGCTTGTCTTGCTCGTTTGCCGCGACAGCCCCATTGTCGGCACTTTGCCAGATGTCCGCAACCGCTTCTCACAGTACGGCCAAGGCACTGAAATAAGGACCGAGCTGGGTCTATGAAAGGCTCTGGCTTTCAGGCCCGTCCGTAGGTCTGGGTCGGAGAACCCGTTCGTTGCCGAGGCTCGCCGTGGCCAGAAGAGCTCCGTCGTTCTTCCGTTGGCTTTCCTCACGTTGGCACGATGACCGTAGGACTCCGATCTTCCAGCGGGACGACCTTGGAGTGCACCCCCGCAACGAGCGTGCGACACAGTGCCCTCGAGATGCCGCCGCCGCCGCCGCCACCCTGCACGGTATCAACGGCGTCGGGCTCCTCTGCTTGGGATTGAAGCTGCTCTTCGGATTGCTCGTCCTTACCTCCGCCGTGGCGAACATTGAGCACGAAGCATATTCTGGCGCCCTGCGAGCTCACCGCCAAGGCCTCCTCGTGGTATCCCGAGTAGTTCTTGAGTGTTCCAGGATCTAGGGCCGAACTTGTTGCCCAGCGTGTCGGGGCTCTCCAAATGATGGGAGTTGCCGCAGGCACAGGTCCCTCCATGGAGGCGACAGCACGTCGTCATCCCGTTCGGATTCCCACTCGCACCAACCTCTTCCACTCTTCATCGCCGTCGTCGAGCATGACGGCGAGTGGCGTTGAGCTCAGCGGCACGTCTCCTCCCAGGACCCACCCAACCAGAAATTGCGCGAGCCTTGGTGATGGGCTTTCCTGGTGGGGGGGCCTCTGAATGGCCACACGGGCCACGCGCGTCGAATCTCGTTTGCCGCATCACGTCAGAATCATCGATCCGGGGGAGGAGGTGATGCAGGGAGAGGAGGCGGAGGAGGTAGGAGGAGGAGGAGGAGGAGGAGGAGGAGGAGGAGGGGGAACGCGGTGGGAGAAGAAAGGAAAAATTACGTTCATGAAGGAAGGAGGAGGAGGAGAAGGAGGCGCAGGTGGGGGAGGAGAGGGACGAGGAGGCACAGGCAGGAGGAAGAGAAGTCGGAGGAGGAGGAGGAGGGCCTGGCCAGTGACGCACCCGGCAGGCAACCGAGCACGTGGCCTTCGACAAGGATGGGTGGTTCAAGCAGTGGCGAAGCGTCTTGGTTCGCCTACCAAAAAATATTACAAGAACCTTCTGTTGTCTGCACGCAATGTTTTTGTAACATATCTGGTTGAGGCTGTCTTTGTGTAATGCATCGGGTTTATGTTCTAAGAACCTTGTTTTGTTCTTAAAGCGCGTTTGAGGTTCTAAGACCATGACGTGGTAGGCCTAAAAGAATGCCGGGACGGCTGATCCCTGCTCGAGTGGTGCCTTCTCCCCTGATCTGCGCTGGGCCCCCCCGGCGGCGCCTCGTGTGCCGCCTCTGGCGCGCTCCACACTCCCCATCGTATATCCCAACGTTGGGCCCAGAATGTCTGGTCCACTCGACCCCACGAAGCCTGGGATAGGGGGTCGACATATCCGAAAGACCGTGTTCTACCGCTGCTGGCGAAAAACCAGGGGGGGGCACTGGGGGGTCCCAACCCGTCCCCCCCTCTCGAATACCAGGGGGGGGTCACTACCGGTTCGAACCCCTCCCCCCTCCAGTCAATTATGAAAAGGGGGGGGGGGGGGGGGCACTACCGGTTTGAACCCCCCCCCCCTTCGAAAACCGGGGGGGGTCACTACCGGTTCGAACCCCCCCCTCCCCTCGAAAACTGGGGGGGGGGTCACTACTGGTTCGAACCCCCTGCCCCCCCCCTTCGCCGCCGGCAAACGATCCCCGCTCCTCGGGATAGTTGGATAGTGGTGGGGATACTGGGACAGTGGTGGGAACGGTGGTGGTGGGGACAGTGGTGCGGGACAGTGGGACAGTGGTGCGGACAGTGGTGGGTGGTTGGGAGGGCGGTGGTGCGGTGGTGGGGACAGTGGTGAGGGGACAGCGGGACAGTGATGTGGACAGTGGGACAGTGGTGGGGACGCTAGTGCCAGTGGTGGGACAGTGGTGAAGGCGGTGGTGCGGACCGTGTTGGGACAGGAGTACAGTGGGGAGAGTGATGGGGACAGTGGGGACAGTGGGACAGTGGCGGGGACAGTGGGGACAGCGGGACAGCACAGTGGGACAGCGGCGGGGACAGTGGGGACAGTGCGACAGTGGTGGGAACAGTGGGGACATTGGGACAGCGGTGGGGACCGTGGGGAAGGTGGGGAGAGTGGGACCGTGGTGGGACAATGGTGGGGAGAGTGGGGACAGTGAGACCCTGGCGGGGGCACTGGTGGGGACAGCGGGGACAATGGTGGGAACAGTGGGGACAGTGGGACAGTGGTGGGGACTGGGACAGTGGTGAGGACGGTGGTGGTGGGGACAGTGGTGTGGGGACAGTGGGAATGTGGTGGGGACAGTGGGACACTGGTGGAGACAGTGGTGGTGGGGACAGTGGTGAGGGCGGTGGCGAGGACGGTGGTGGGACAATGGGACAGAGGTACAGTGGGGACAGTGATGGCGACAGTGGTGGTAACAGTGGGACAGCTCAGTGGGACAGCGGCGGGGACAGTGGGACAGTGGGGACAGTGGGGACAGTGGGACAGTGGTTGGGACCGTGGGGAAAGTGGAGAGAGTGGAATCGCGGTGGGAACAGTGGTGGGGACAGTGGGGACAGTGCGACAGTGGTGGGGGCACTGGTGGGGACAGTGGGGACGGTGGTGGAAACAGTGGGGACAGTGGTGGTGAGGACAGTGGTGCTGGGGACAGCAGTAGGGGATGTGGTGCGGACGGTGGTGGAGTTCCGGGAGTCGTTTGCCGGCGGTGAATGGTGAATGGGGAGGGGGGTGGGGGTCGAATTGGTAGTGACCCCCCCCCGGTTTTCCTGGGGGCGGGGGGGGGGTTCGAGCCGGTAGTGACCCCTTCGGTTTTCTGGATGGGGGGGGTTCGAACCGGTAGTGATCCCCCCGGTTTTCGGGAGGGGGGGGGGAGGGTTTCGAGGAGGTGTGTGTTTTGCCGGGGGGAAGGGGGAGGGGTCCAGCAGGGAGGGGGGGATTTTTCGGGGGAGAGGGGGGGGGAACCCTCGGTTCTGGAGGAAGAGGGGGGAATTTTCCATTGTAAAGGGGCGGTGGACCACGCTCTCTCACACATCCACGGTTCAAGGGGTCCTGAGGGAGAGAGGCCCGAGGAGGTTCCTTGGCGCGCGGAGCGCGCCAGGGGCGGCGCCGGAGGCGCCGCCGGGGGGCCCCAGCGCCGATCCGAGAAATCCGCGCGGACCTCCGAGTTTTTATGTTTATGCCACTTTTTGTTCTCCTAGGAACCTCCTCGGGCCTCTGTCCATCAGGACCCCTCGAACCGTGGATATGTGAGAGAGCGTGATCCACCGCCGCTTTACTGTGGACAAAAAACCCTCTTCCTCCGGAACCCAGGGGCCCCCCCCCCTCCCCCGAAAATCCCCCCCTCCTCCCCCGAGGAGGTTCCTCACCGTTCTAGGACTCCCGGCCCCAGGGCCGCCAGAGGCACGACGCAGGATGCGCAAGCGCGCGCCGGGAAGGCTCCCGGGTCCCAGGGCAGCTCTCCCTGGCAGGGCTTATGGGCGTCGCGTAGTCAAAAGGGCGCACTGGAGGGCGCGGAGTTCTTCGCGCTGCTCGCTTCGCGGTTCGGCTCCGATTCCTCCTCAGCCTCCTCTTCTCCCTTGGGAGGCGCCGCGAGGGTGCGAAGTTCTTCGCGCTTCTCGCTTCGCGGTTCGGCTCCGATTCCTCCTCAGCCTCCTCTTCTCCCCTGGCAGGTGCCGCGAGAGCGCGAAGTTATTCGCACTTCGCGCGTCGCGCAGCGCGAAGCGCGAAGTTGGGAGCCCTCGGTAATGGAGGGTCATAAATGCGCGGGTGGCGAGGGTGGTACGAAAAGGTACCCACACGGTACCTAAACGAGCCCCCTGGGGCTCCAGAGGGGCCCGAAAGGGGCAGGAAAGAGGACCGTTTCTGACCCCCCCATGTGTGACCCCCCCATCAAGCCACGCCCAAAGGGCCCGTTTCCGTTTCCTCCGTTACAGGAGAAGGAGGGAGATCAGCATCCAGGGCTTCCGCGGTCCGGTCGGTTCGGTTGCGTCGCAGCCTGTTGCGTTCGGCCGGTTCGATCACGGTCGGTTGTTGCGTCGCGGCTGGGTCACCACAACCCATCCTTCGAGGAACAAAATTGTAGTAGTCACCAGAGTTCCCCACACAAGGATGTTAAGGGGCTAGCGGGATCAACGGGGCACAGCAGAGGTAAGAACAAAGAGAGGCCCACGACGTTCGGAGATTCGCATGGGAGGGCCGATGAAGGCGAGGAGGAAAGCGACAGGGAAGGAGAGGACGGCTGTTCAGGACGCGTCCCCTTCCTTTTGGAACACTACCCTTCGGTTTAGCGGTCAAGGAGGGTCGATCTTTGAAGTTTGTGTGTGTGTGTATGTGTGGGGGGGGGAGGGTGTTGCTCCTTACCCCATCGCACCTTAGTAAAGGAAGTCCTCCCCTGGGCTCGGACGGGCCTCCAGTGAGCGGTCCGAGGAGCTAATATGGCTCAAGGGAACGCTAAGAGGACGGGTGCGAGGGGCACGAAACCTTGTTCATGGTATCGTAAATCGTACAGGTTTCGAAATCACTGCCCGCTCTGGCGGGGCCTCCCTGGAAGGGTGGGAGGGGCACGAGACCTTGTAAATGCCCTCCTCGCTCAGGCGGGGCGTCCCTGGAGTGGTGGGAGGTGCACGACACCTTGTAAATATTTTGTGTTGAGGATACCCTCCTCGCTCAGATGGGGCCTGCCTGGAGGTGTGGGCCTACTCTTCCCACTACGACTACGACTACGACGACTACTACTACTAGTACTACTAC